AGAGGAAAGGGTTTTTTTTTTTTAAACATTAAACCTCACCTATTTATATTAGAAATAACGCGTTCGCTTGTGTATATTACGTAATCTTACACGTCTTACATATATTATATGCACGTGATGAGAATCGTGATAGTCACGTAGTAAAAATTACGAATTTGCAGATCACGTATTATTTACTGCATATATAGCCGGAAATTTCACTCTACATGCACCATGTACATATCTGTACGAGTGGCGCAAGGATGACGCAAGGGGATGCATTTCATGCGACCGAAAATAGGAAAAAAAACTCTGCTGCATTATTGTTTATTTTATTATTAGTTAATCAGCGATCAAATGTTAAAAGTATCAATTAAAAGTACTTCAAGCAATTTTATTGGTTGTAGATAATCGTGGGGAATAACTTAGTTTACTTGCGTGTTGGAGCCAAATCGAATGCTTCTCTGTGGTGTTAAGCATGTTCTGTCTTAAATAATTTAAACATTTCTATACGTACTCTTTAATTTCTGAACGGTATGCCATTATTAAGCATCAGTTGGGCTACTCGCACCATTTTTATACGTAGAATTTCGTTTCAAAAAATTATAAAAAAGTAACTTTCCATTATTAACCGCTGATTATTCCAATTCTTCTTTGAAAGTTTTTCTTCGCATTAACCAATGATCACATACTCAACTGAAGCCATCGTGTTTTTTTACCGATGGAAAGTATCAAACGTCCGATCCCCTTTCCACAAAATAATATAATGTGAGTATCCACTTTTCCTAATCCTCATGTTCTTTGAGGTTATTTAATTTTCTAAATTGTTTCCCACTCTGTAGATTACAAAAGTTATTTCCCGCGGGCGTTAAAAGCTTTTCACAGACTCCCGTTCAGCGACAGGTGACTAGAGGTAGGTCGAAAGTTAGAACAAGCCTCGCCAAGTCCAGTAAATTTTTGCAAAAGGTAAATTAAATTAATTTGATACAATTTACTTTAAATTTTACATAATATCTCATCCTATCGCAATTTTCTATTTTGTATAGCTCAAAATAAGGGAAAACATATGGAATCTTCCAAATGTTCTTACAATTTCACGGTTGGCTGTTTCTCCTGTAATCGGATATTTTATCTTGAATGAGCAATATAAGCTTGCGTTAGGTGCTTTCGTCTATGCCGGACTTACAGATTTGGTAAGCTGATTTATTTTATGATCATCGAAATTTTTTTGTTTCACTCAATTTATTTTAAACATGCAGTTGGACGGATTTGTCGCGCGCCGCTACAAGATGAAAACAACGGTTGGGACCGTCATTGATCCGTTAGCAGACAAGACACTAATGACGATCATGACTGTGACCTTATCAATGAAGAGTTTTCTACCAAGTAAATCTAGTTGTTATGTTACAATTTTCATGGGTAGAACCCTACGTTAACGTCTGCTTTTACAGCACCGATTGCTGCCGTGATACTTGGTCGCGACGGATGCTTGATTTTATCATCATTTTACTATAGATATATCTCCCTTCCGCCACCGGTAATCTTTAGGCGGTTCTTAATTTATTCATTAAGACAATGAATCCAATTTGATTATTCTTTTTAGAAAACGATTACTAGATATTTTGACTTTGCCATTCCATCTGCAGAAGTAAGACCAACAACGATTAGTAAGGTAATAATCACTTTGACTGGCTTATTCACTTACTAGTTCTTCCAATATTGAGATTTTTTTACGACGTGATATTTCGAAAGGTAAATACGGCATTACAATTAGCACTTATGGGTTCAACACTTGCTTGCGCAGTCTATGGGAGTACTGACTTTCTTTGGATAAAAGCATTGCAGTATGTATAGCCGTTGATGCTTCCTGTTAACTTATTTTATACCAATTTTTATAATTTCCCTTGATGTACCATATTTAGGTACACCGTTTTTGGAACAACTATTTGGTCTGGCTTTAGTTATATTCTTTCTAAGGACGCCGTCAGAATATTAACACCGCGAATTCACAGGAGACATAGATAGGTCAAGTGTTTGTAATTGACTGTCTAAAGTTTGTGCTAGACTTTGTTGTATATAAATTATGATGAAAAAATCTCAACTGAGTTGCGTGGCTATATAAACTTTGATTAGTCAGCTCAACGTATAACAACTAACTTTTGTTAATAATTAAATTGAACTACTCATAATGTTTCTTAAGAACCAACCAATCCGCTTATATTATTCTATGTATAAAATTGTTTTTAGAAATGCATGTAACGCAACGAGACATAAATCAAATTAACATTTGCAGAAACGTTTTTTATCGAAAGAACGCATTATCATTCATTATTATCATTATTTTTACTTTTAATTATATAACTAAATAACGGACTACTGCAAATAACAAAGAACTTAACATACTAAGCTATTAATATTGCAATATACAATGGTAAATAGATAATAAATTATTTTTTTCGTGACTAAATTTTTGTATGCTTCAAACCTACTTTTTTATCAAGAACCCTTCTTTCTGAAAACGCCATTAAAAAGTTACCTTACATTGACTTTTCATAGATTTGCCTGGCCCACTTTACTTCCGAAGCACTATTCGAAATCTTGCATATCCTTCCTTCTTTTTCCAGCTCGTACAAATGCAAATTCACACTTTTTTTAGCCGAAGACCAGAGCGATTTAGGGTAATTGGCGTAAATAATCGCCACAATCTCATCGGATGTAAACTGCGAATTTTCAATTTTCAAAATTTCCAAAATCTCATTATGACGCGCCATTCTATGATCAAGGTACTCTCTTATCTTTGCTTTTCCATCCTCAACCACAGGG